GCTAGGGCTGGGTCTGCCTCCTCCGGGGGCAGCATTTGCATGCTCACCACCTGATCCCTGAAGGGAGAACTGGGAACCTTGGGCACATAGCCGGGCTGGGGCCTCAGGATTACCTGGGAGTCAGCCGGCCCAAACTCTAGGCATGAATCGTCGACCGAAAATGCGTGCAGGTCCCCTACCCTCTTGATGGAGGCCAGTGCAAGCAGGAGTAGAGTTTTCATTGAAAGAAACTTTAGCTCGACTGACTGCAAAGGCTCAAATGGGCCCTGCTGTAGTGCTTTGAGCACTAGAGACAGGTCACAAGAGGGTATAGAGGAGGGCCGAGGAGGATTTAACCTTCTCGCCTCCCTAAGGAACCCTATGACCAGATCATGCTTCCCTACTGACTTCCCTTCCACGGGGTCATGGTTAGCAGCAATCGCAGCGACATAGACTTTAAGGGTGGAGGGAGACAGCCTTCGCTCCAACCCTTGCTGCAAAAAGGAAAGTACGACCCCGATCAGGCATCTCCAGGGGTCTTCCTGACGAGAAGAACACCACTTGATGAACAGGTTCCACTTCAAGGCGTAAGCGTGTCTCGTAGACGGTGCTCTCGCCGAAGTGGTGTCAACTGCCTCTTGGGGTAGGACATCAAGAACCTCTGCGTCCCGTCCAGGGACCAGACATGAAGTTTCCAGAGGTCTGGACAGAGGTGCCACAGGGTGCCCCGTCTCTGAGTCAGTAGATCCTTCCTCAGAGGAATCTGCCAGGGAGGGACTGTCGCGAGGAGCATTAGTTCAGGGAACCAGGTCTAAGTGGGCCAATACGGTGCCACAAGCAGGACCTGCTCCTCGTCCTCCCTGACCTTGCACAGCGTCTGTGCGAGAAGGCTCACTGGGGGAAACGAATACTTGCACAGGCCCCACGGCCAGCTGTGTGGAAGAAAGGCACTGAGGCGGGGTGCTGAGAACCAGCGCGAGCCACCCCACGAAACCAATCATCGAACCTCAAGGGCCCGGGACGCGATGTAGGTTTCCACTCGAGCCCTACCCTCTCAGCGCTACTGCCCGAAGTAGTCCACGCCTGGCTGCCGCTAGGACGAACACTAGATCACGGCAGAGGCAACGGAGCTCCGCCCCCCTGGAGGAAACGGACCCTGGCCCACAGCTCCGAGATGATCATCTTCCCGCAATGGGAACATGACTCATCCACGAACGCCACCTCAGCGTGTTTAATGCCCAGACATGTGAGGCAGCGATCGTGACCACGATCGTGATCGTGATCATCAACCGGCGCCAGGTAACGACCGCATCCAGAAATGTATGGGTGAAACCGCATCTTTAAAAAGACGATCCGTCGTCTTTACAAAGACGCTTATTTTACTCTTTTAGAGAAATTGTCTCTTTTAGGGAAATGCTCTTTTACATGCTGAGATGCACAAGGGGAAACGGCCGTTTGCAGCACGACAGGGGGTAGTGCAGCCTAAAGTGCGCAACCCACTCGACACGGGAACGACCACCGCTGAAGCACCTTCTGCCAACACAAAAAGCTCCCAAGAGCACGCTAGACTCGTCACACACAAAGCAGTTTGGTAGGAGCAGAACGATGTTGTCGCTCGGCTCCGAAGCGAAAAGCTGGTATGCGTTGCACCGACTGCCTTTTTATGCTCACGCTGTGATCGCATGCCAATGTGCATTGGCTCATTTAGTTTACACTCGGAGTGGATTGGTCTCTCTAAGCGAGATCCCAATTCGTCGGTCACCGGCGTGACTCGGAGTGACCGACTGAAAGGGAACTGAATTAGTCAATATTGGCAGTATATAATTCTAGTCAACATAATTCTAACTTATATATGTAAAAAAAAATTTGATTACAAAATTTGATGACTCAAAATTGGATTAACTTTTATTTAGATATGAGTGGAGAATGTGCTAACTTATAATGAGTATATTGTTACAATAGAAAAAATGAATGGTCCTAAAAATAGACTTTATTTTCTTTGCACATATATGCCCTTTTCCAAGGTAAACATTGGACATTTTCGTTGTGAGATTAACATATGCAGGTCCTGAGTTATTCACAAAATCATAAAATATTCAAAATATTACAGTGCTTTCTATTGCTGGGCTGGATGTTCATTTGTAGTGAGACTATCCTACGTGTCTGTAGTTTAGGGTCTCTAATGTCAAAAAGTTAAAGTTAGGTAAAAATGGAAAGTTTGTTGTCACAGTAAATAGCCAGTCACTGAAAAGGTGAATTAAAATATTTAGAGGTTTTGAATGTTTGTGGATGTTTTAAATGTAACTTTAATCAGTCAGCTGTATTTGAATTGTGATCATTTTAAACATTTTCTGCTGGCTTCTCAGAAGTGTTTATCCACTTCTGCAGTTGTTAAACTGACATATATTAATATCTTCCACTGCATGTTGAGTACCATTAATTAATATGATAATTAGCCTGCTTTTAATATGCAAAATAGACACTTGTGTGCAATAATTTAAACACTTGCGGAAATGGTAGTGAAATCACAATTTTTACTTTATTCCACTATGTAAACTTCTTTACCGCCTACTCTTTCTATCCCAAAAGTTGTTCATTGTTTTTGTATCATTCAGCAGAGATAAGTGACCTATCCCAAAATCAGTAGGCCTGATCAATACGCATGTATTGCCATGAACAAGGCGTAGGTCTTTGGTGATGAAAAGAAGCTGCACTTGATGTTGTATTATGCTCATTTACCTCAAGTTTTACTTTATCTATAATCTCTTCCTCTCTTAGCGGCTGGTGTCTGCAATAATTTCTCCTTCAAATGTGAAAACAAGCAGTGTGTAAACAAAGTGAACTCAGAGTGTGATCGCGAAAAGGACTGCTCCGATGGTTCGGATGAACAGGGATGTGGTAAGTCACATTTTTGATTGTATTTTTGCTTTTATAGTCTGTGATGCATAGTAACTGGCCATGTGGTGCACAATATTAAGAACATTTTATGAATACAAAGCTGTGCTGGTATTCAGAACAACAGCACTGTTGATCATGTGATATTGCATAAATATATAATTTAATTGTAGTGCTCAGTTGGGTATTTCACTTGTTTTACAATGATCTGCAATGTGATTTATCTAATCATAATTAGGAGTTAGAAGTATCACTTATTATATTCGATTTGCTGTTTGGCGCGGTTTTATTTTCCGCTCAAGTGTTACATAATGTGAAGCTGCACTGATGCCAGATTTATCATTTATTTGTTATGAATGTACTTTAGATGAAGTACCTTTGTAAAGTATTTAATTCACTGTTTAATAAAAAGGCATTGACAGTTGATTATAACCCACAAAATATGTATCCCTTAACAACACATTTGTCTTAAAGAGACTAATTTTTACTAATTTAAAGGGACAGCAATTGATTATAACAAAGAAAAAACTTTTATTAATAATTCTTTGAGATGCACAGTAACATTTATTTCAGACAAACTCTTTTGTGAAACCAAATGAATTGTTAAAATCCATTTGTTATAATTGTAGTTAGTTTTAATTTGAAAGTAATATAGATTTATAATATGTAACATCATTATAATTATATATGCAAATACAATTATCAGTATGAACTTTGTCATACCGCCCACCTCTAGTGTCTTTATTGTATAATCATTTGAAGATAATGAGCTTCCCAGTTTCACAAGCTTTTGGTGTTTCAGTGAATTTAAAAGCAATTGTAATTTCCAGATGTTGCTGCATCATCAACAATGTGGTAATTAGTGTAAAAAATTCACATTCAAGCTCAAAGCCATTATATTTTTTTTATGAAACCTTACATGACATTATTCTTCTGTTGTAGTCCTCCGGGTTGCTAGTTTCTTTTTCCTTCCTCATTGTGTTTTTATCAGCCAGCACGGTTCATTCCTCCATATATCTATCTTGTTATGATTCTGCTTTAGTCCCGCTAAAGGCCGACAGTCCTGTGAGTCAGAGCAGAGGTTACAAGAAACTTGCCATCTTTCAGTACAAACAGTTTTGCAGTCAACTCTCTGATCTTATCCCTGCTGGTCATGTTCAAGACCCCCATCACCTCTCATCTCAGCATACCAATGCTATCCCTTCCGTTGTCTTCCTTGAAGTCTTTGTGTTTGAACCGTTCTTACAATTTGGTTTCAGACTGTGGAGTCCGGCCATACAAGCACAACCGTATTGTGGGTGGGCAGAACGCAGATGTGGGTGAATGGCCATGGCAGGTCAGTCTACATTTTAAGACCAGCGGACACGTTTGCGGCGCCTCAATCATCTCCAACAAATGGTTGCTGTCCGCTGCCCACTGCTTCATCCAGCCTGATTCAGCGTGAGTCCGTTTATTGCTTCTCTGTACGGCTGTTAGTGTTAGTGCTGTATTTTATTTTTCTCTGCTTAATTTAGCTGTAGTTAATGGTAATTTATCACAGACATAAATTAGACATTTACTAAGTATCTTTCTCCATTCGCTTTGTGCTCAAACACCATCCAACATCTGCGCTCTGTGTTGTATCAAAGCCTGGGCTTGTGTTTATTTTCATTGGCCAGCAGGTGGAGCACAAGACATGCAATACTTGTCCTTGATGAATTATTCTAACATGTTTCTGAGACTGAAATGCTAAAGCTGAATTGAAAAATAATTTACTCTCCTGCGCTATGGTTTCAGCATGAAATCAAAATTGACCCCATTTGCTTTCTTAATAAACATTTCTGGTATTATTGTGATATGAGTGATACATCAGTGCACAAATGTTTGTGTTTTTAATCTTTGTAATTCGGCTGAAATCACCAAACCCTCTTATTTTTCAGTCCCTCTTCATATAGATGTCCTATACACACAGCGTTTTACAATCCTGCCAATACTTTTTATCATTGAATCTTCTGATTTCTTGTCAAATTACAGCGTTCAAAACAACTAAACTCCTAAACAGCTTCCATTGTCTCTTCCAACAGCTTCAAATTATGCATTATATAAGCAAATGCAATCATCAGATTATTGGTATAACCTTTTCGTCACAACAGCATTTGAAGATAGGTTTCCCGGTGTATTTTTACAAGCTTTTTGGTGTTTTCGGTTAACAATGGTAACATCCAGACATTGCTGCATCATCGGCAATGTGTTGATTAGTGTAAAAGTTCGCATTTCCTCAGATTTACTGTCAAATTACAGATTTAAAATGTATTTGAATCCCATTTCATATTGACCTTTCAAAACAACTAACTTCCAAAACAACATTGTGTAGATTGTCTCTTCCGACATCCTCAAATTAGATATTATATAAGCAAATACAATTATCAGATTATTGGTTTAACATTTTAGTTGTAACATCCACCTAGTGTCTTTATTGTAAAATCATTTGAAGATAATAAGCTTTCCAGTGTGTTTCCACAAGCTTTTGGTGTTTCAGTGAATTTAAAAACAATTGTAAAGTGTGGTTATTCACATTTCCTCAGATTTTCTGTCAAATTACAGATTTATAATGATTTTTAACACCATTTCATGTTGACTTTTCAAAACATCTGATTTAAACAACTAACCTCCACAACACTGTGTCCATTGTCAACAGCTACAAAATAACATCCAACTGGCTGACGTACAGTGGTCTGCGGGACCAGAACATCCAGGACGGCTCTGTTCAGAAGCGCACTTTGAAGAACATTATCACCCACCCAAACTACGACTCAATGACCTACGATTATGACATCTCACTGCTGGAACTGAGCGATCCATTGAACTTCACCAACACTGTGCATCCCATCTGCCTTCCGGCGTCGACCCACGTCTTCTCGGCTGGCAGTTCCTGCTTTGTTACAGGCTGGGGCACACTCCGAGAGGGAGGTGAGACAGCTTGTGTGCCTGAGGGCTGCCCTTTGCATTTAGAGTTCCTTTTTCTATGAGAAACCTTTGGAATTTTGCCTCACAAGTTTGACATTTATCAATTCCATGTCTCAATGTCACTTTTAACAACTTTTGTTCTACGATTTTGTGGAAGTAAGTAGAGATGCTCTTTGGTAATAGATTCGGTTTCATAGAACTAATGTTTTATTTATGTGTTGTAGGAAGTGTTGCACAAATCCTGCAGAAAGCAGAAGTAAAGGTGATTAATGATACAGTATGCAACATGGTGACCGAAGGTCAGGTGACCTCTAGAATGATGTGTAGCGGCTACCTCACCGGAGGTGTGGACGCTTGTCAGGTAAAACTATTCCTATCTTTTTTTTTTTTTTTTAAACGAAAACACACGGAATCTGATATTTTCACTTTGTTCTGGACCACTTGCAATATATGTAGGAATAAATAAGATATGTTTCTAATTTATTTATTTATTTTTTGCGCAGTGACTTGAGTTTGGACTGTCAGGTAAATTCTTAGTATTTTATTAAAATATTGTGAATAATTATAATAATAATCATCAAAATAATAATAAAAGTCATCTCTTTTGCACATACAAAACACTGCACATAGACCAAATTGCATATAAGAATAATATTGTGTGTGTTTACATTAGTGAAATTCTGGCGAAATTTAAAGGGGTCATATGATGTTGCTAAAAAGAAAATTAACAAAGCCTTATTTTGTTTATATGAAGAGATTTATTTTATTTGTGTTATTTATTTTATTTGGGGCTTGTTTTAAAATTTCAATTTAGTTTTGTTATTTATATTTACAATATATTTACATTTTGTTAGAATGAGCCGTTTTAGGTAGGCATGGTTGACTCTTAACTTTTATAAGGAATATCTCTTTGGATTTGAGACTTTAGTCTTTGCAACTTTACAGATCTTCTTTATGCACCAAGAGCTTGTAACACTTCAAAGAGAAAGGAAAAATTGAAATCGCATCATATGACCCCTTTAATGTAAAAAAAAAAATGTCCATTGTCAATAGTGTAGCAATGTATGAAATTTTTACATGGAATTTTGCAGTGCTCACATAGACATTTTCAAACCAAGTAGCTTTCTGTTTGTTGGTCAGCATGGACCAACTTGAACTTGATGCGAAATCTGCGTAGGGAAATCTTTCGCTCTCAGGCGAAATTGTAGATTGTGCAGATTCCTATTAAAATTAGTCTTTCAACCGCATTTCAACAATGAAAATTTGCCGAACAACTGTACATGTTGGGCTGTTATACCACTATTTTTTAAATGGACATTTACGGACTCAAAATCATAATGCCTACACCCCAGTTGTAAATTGAAAATCTGAAATCTACAACACATGCAAAATTACACATTTATTGAATGTTAATGAATTCAAGGTGGTTTAATAGCCATTTAGATGCATTGTGAAGCCCAGCAGGGATAAGTCTTTTTTTTGTCCTGTTCTATTCATTCAGAAACACCTACAGTACAGATATGACATGAGCATAATGCCATCAAAGTGTTCAGCTAATGTTGTTGTCTTCCAGCAGTGTGTGTGTACAGCCTCGTTGTGGAGAAGATTAATTATTCTACCTTGTTCCCTGATATTTAAATGAGCTGATTTCCATAATTTCTACTTCTATTTCGCTTGTTATTCATCTTGCTTTCCTCTTCTGAACGCTCTGTGCGTCTCTCTTATTCTGGGTGTAATCTTCTTAGTGTGCTTTTCTCTCGCACAGGTTCCGGTCCTGGTCTTGTGACTCCTTTCTATCTTCCTCTCCTACTGTAGGAGCTCATAGATTTTCTCTCTCTGTCTTTGTACTTTGCTCCATCTTTCTCACCCTCTGTAATATTCTTTCATTCGCTTAGCTGTTTTGTCGTCTTCTCTCTCTCCTCTCACCTCCCAATTCAAATATGCTTTATTGCCACGTCTGTTTACATTGCAATATTGGCAAAGTAATTAAGAGCCGAAAACAAATCATTCAGGAATAATAGTAATGGAATGAAATGACACCGTAAATAAGCAGCTTAAATTAGAGGTACAAAATAATAAATGATAAGTGATTACAATAATAATTAAAACGTTTGCAACTGCTTTACAAGCCCTCCTTTTTTCCTTTCTGTTTTTCAGTTTCTCATATACATAATCATCATTTCATCTCCTTTTTCAATTTCAAGCACTTTATTGGCATGATTATTTTATATACAATATTGCAAAGCATCAATACACACAATTAAAAAACAAACTGGAAAAATAAATACAAAATAAAATAATCACAATATACTGTACATTAAAAATGAAGTAAACATTCAGTGATGCATTAAAGTACATTCTCTAGAATATATCGACAGGCAACTCTTGAATACGGTCATCAAATATGTTTAGTTACATGAGTGTCCTCCATGCATTTCGTCGAGTTTTGGAAAATGTGGAATGACGTTTAAAAGTTTCTTTCTTTTGGCTTCCACAGGGAGACTCCGGCGGTCCTCTTGTATGTCGTTCCGATGTTGGCAAATGGTTCCAGGCTGGAATAGTGAGCTGGGGAGAAGGCTGCGCTCGGCGGAACAAGCCTGGCATCTACACACGTGTCACCAAACTGCGGGACTGGATCCGTGAAATCACAAACATATAGTGAAGCCTGGACCTGCAGTCATACGACAACCAAAGCAGAAGAACACAAGTGTTGAGTGCCGTGAATATTTAGTACAGTATGTGAGCCACACTCATAAAAACGAAAGTGAATACAGCTTTGGTCGACATCCTTTGTGAGAAAAAATTCATTCAAATAACGGGAAAAATAAATACAAAATAATTCAGCATTAACACTAAAATAAATAATCACAATATACAATAAAAATCAAACATTCAGTGATGCATTAAAGAACATTCTCTAGAATAGATCAACAGGCAACTATTAAATACGGTCATCAAATATGTGTAGTGTCCATGCATTTCATCGAGTTTTGGAAAATGTGGAATGACGTTTAAAAGTTTCTTTCTTTTGGCTTCCACAGGGAGACTCCGGCGGTCCTCTTGTATGTCGTTCCGATGTTGGCAAATGGTTCCAGGCTGGCATAGTGAGTTATTCTGGGTGTAATCTTCTTAGTGTGCTTTTCTCTCGCACAGGTTCCGGTCCTGGTCTTGTGACTCCTTTCTATCTTCCTCTCCTACTGTAGGAGCTCATAGATTTTCTCTCTCTGTCTTTGTACTTTGCTCCATCTTTCTCACCCTCTGTAATATTCTTTCATTCGCTTAGCTGTTTTGTCGTCTTCTCTCTCTCCTCTCACCTCCCAATTCAAATATGCTTTATTGCCACGTCTGTTTACATTGCAATATTGGCAAAGTAATTAAGAGCCGAAAACAAATCATTCAGGAATAATAGTAATGGAATGAAATGACACCGTAAATAAGCAGCTTAAATTAGAGGTACAAAATAATAAATGATAAGTGGTTACAATAATAATTAAAACGTTTGCAATTGCTTCTCACACACACCTTTTTTTCCTTTCTATTTTTCACTGAGTTTCTCATATACATAATCATCACTTCATCTCCTCTTTCAATTTTAAGCACTTTATTGGCATATTGGCATTATATACAATATTGCCAAAGCATCAATACACACAATACGGTCATCAAATATGTGTAGTGTCCATGCATTTCGTCGAGTTTTGGAAAATGTGGAATGACGTTTAAAAGTTTCTTTCTTTTGGCTTCCACAGGGAGACTCCGGCGGTCCTCTTGTGTGTCGTTCCGATGTAGGCAAATGGTTCCAGGCTGGCATAGTGAGCTGGGGAGAAGGCTGCGCTCAGCGGAACAAGCCTGGCGTCTACACGCGTGTCACCAAACTGCGGGATTGGATCCGTGAAATCACAAACATATAGTGAAGCCTGGACCTGCAATCATACGACAACCAAAGCAGAAGAACACAAATGTTGAGTGCCATGAATATTTAGTACAGTATGTGAGCCGCACTCACAAAAGCAAAAGTGATTACAACTTTGGTCGACATCCTTTGTGAGAAAAAAATTCATTCAGATTGAACTTGCATACGTTTCAGACTTCCTGGTCGTTTTCATAATAGCATTTTCATTCAGTATGACTATTTGGTTGTTATGGCTTATGAATGATGTTTTTCATAGCTGTATCAATCAAAAGTTGACTTCAGCTTTAGTCAACCAAATAAAATGGTTCATAAAATACACGCAGACACCACTATAATGAGAATATATATAACTTCATAAATGGCACTTAGAGATCAAACTGTCCTATAATGAGAGTGCCAACACTTATGACCTGGTGGTAGTCATGTTGTTATCTTTGAATTATATTCGGTTTAAAAGGTATTTTTCTTATGCTCAAAGCGTGCCTTTGTTCCAAAGACTGGACCCTGCTTCTTCTCAGAAACAATGACTCTTTGGCTTTGGAGGTAGCATCAATCCCTACATTTTTTTTTTTCCTTTTAAGCAAAGGTCAAAAGCTTCTTTGCAATCTAGAAATTTCTGTAAGCATCTCACTAATGCTGACCTTCTTTCCTCACATCTTTGTGATCTCAGAACCTCAGTGCCAAAGCTCTGAAATGAAGGATTAGGTAAAAATAGGATATTTCCGTCATCCATTTGCCAATACAACCAAGGCCAACATAGGTCACACACTTCTGCTGCATGTTAAAGTTCCAGCCAATCAATGTCAAAGCAGGATGGTCTCTCCTTTAAAGAGGCCCGAAGGTATGGAGGAATCTATACTGCTGCTTCCTTATAGACTTGGCAAGTTTCTTTCCCATGGAAAGTCCCCACTTGCTTAGTAAGATTTTCAGGCTTTGTGGTGTAGTGACTTCATTTCCCCGGAGGTACAAGAGATGTTCGCTGTATTTTGAGAGATGTCAAGCAATAGATGCTGTATTTATGTACTACAGAAGTTTCATATAGCATCATGATGTGCAATTTGACCTATTGAGGGCTTGTTAGGATTTCATTTTTAAATTGTGTAAATTTCAAACAACTTTAAATTGTTTTTAAAGCCGCAATGCTTATCTATGGCCTTAAGTTTCTGGGTGACTAAATGCTTTTTGTTTTGTTCATGTAACTGGTAACTTGTTGGTCTTTTCTGTTTTTGTTGTGTTTTATATTTTATCACTATGCAAATGTTTTAATGTATGCAAATTTTCCTGGAGTTTATGATGTTTTCTTGACAATAAAATACATGCTGGTTTTACATTATTTTAGGTGTTTTTCTTTCTCTCCAGAATACAGTGTTTTGGGTAATTTCCAAGTAATTGAATTTCCCCCTAAAATGCAGAATTTAGTCAAGAAAACTCAAAACAGTTTCAGCAATATTAAATCAGCTGGCCTTGGCATAAAACAATGTCAACATTGCCTTCAACAATTATTTGCGCATAAATCAGTGGCCTCCTAATGGAAAACGAAACAAGAAAACATCATAAATCTACTCTTTTTCAGTTTATATAAGAAAATACACAGCATGTCTTTTTTACATATGTGAATACTTAGTTTTGACCTTGCACCAATTAAAAAAGCTGTAGGTTTAATTAAGCACTGCACTGCAACAGTTGTTTTAAATGGTTGACAGAATATTGAATTTAGGCTAATTACATGCCAGATTTGACCTTGTATGAGCTTTAGATTGGTGTTCAACCTTTCATATCATCTCCAATCGATGTGATAACTCCTGCACTTCAACATTTTGCACATAGGGCTTATACGGTATCCAGGCAACCAAGGGTCACAATCACTTACTACCTAATGGAGAAATATAATCAAATGATCGAAACAAAGCATTGTGGTAAACGAAACGCATGATTTAAATCAAGCTAACCTTTAGTTTATGCAATATTTCTATACCATATTTCCGTTACAGTACCTTTTGTTCATTTACGTGCTTCCTGACGTTCACGGGTCGTGTGATTGGTGAGATTCATTTTGCGTTATAAATATTCAATTTTATGTAAATTACGCAAAAACCGTTGGGCATCCTGGGAGCTGTATGGCGCGCGTTCGGTGAGTAGAGACTCTTTAGCGAACGTGTATTGCTGTTTTTGTGCTTAATTTCATTGTTTTAATCATGTAGCCAGGAAATATATAAATTGTATTATTAATGCGTTAAGAATTTGTGGATTTATCACTTGGTATCAGCTCCATGGACAGCACGTTTGACGCCAGGTATCTCAACTGAGAATTCACCTCAGAAAAACAACGTGTGTCAGGAGATTAGAGAACTAACGTTAGCATTTGTGACAATTAACTAATCCTTATTAGGTTTCATAACATACATTCTATCTGCCAATATAGGCAGGGGTGCACATAAGTTTTTCAGCCTGGTTCTCATATGAGAACCTGGAGATTTGGTTTGGTCCTCACATTAGTGTTGGGTCGTTCTTGAACGATTCGTTCGTTTTGAACGAATCTTTAATGTGACTCGGGAAGAACGAGTCGTATCGGGGAGTGATTCGTTCAGTCGCGCATGCGCAACATCCTATAGGTTCTGTACTGGAATTAGTCAAGTAGTTCACCTGGTTCGAGTCTTCGGGTTTTTCCGAGTCGTTCGTTCATCACGTGACAGCCCCATAAACTTTAACCAATGCAGTCTGAGCCGGAAAGAGAATTGATTAGTTCATCTCGAGTCTTCGGGTTTTTCGAGTCGTTCGTTCATCACGTGACAGCCCCATAAACTTACCCTATGCAGTCTGAGCCGGAAAGAATCTTTTCTGTTTCTTATTGCAGTTTTGTATTGTTTGTAGTGTGATCAACGTTTGCGTTAGTAGACGTGTTAGGGAAGTAACACGTAACATTTTAATTTTATTTTGCTAAAATGAACGAAATGACTCGAAAAAAGATTCGTTCATTTTGCTGAACGAGACTCAAAGGTCCGAGTCGGTAAAAATGATCCGAACTTCCCATCACTACCTCACATGGCACATGGTGTGACCCATAAAATATAACTATAACAAATAAATTAATAATAATAGTGATAATATCATTGCACTTTATTTAGTTTTTTTATATATATATATATAATAAAGTGTGATAATACTATTTTATTTAAAAATAAAAGGGAGTGTTAAATACAAATACAATTATTTTTATAGTAAACTTAAAAATAAAATGCTAATATTTTTTTATTTTTATTATTATTATTATTATTTTAATTTGAACCTGCGGGTTTAGCGCTGCCGATTGTAGAGCGTCAGTGAATGAAATGTCATAGTTTTGCGTCGTGCTTTGAAAACGGCAGCGGGTAGCCTAGATATATGCTTTCAGTTTGAATAGAAACTTTATACAGTACAGTTTGTCGGTCTAAAATGGTAATTGTGCATTAACAGCTGTCATGTCACAGTTTTGCATTGTGCTTTGAAAACGGTAGTGGGTAGCCTAGATTTATGCTTTCAGTTTGACTAGAAATCTTATACAGTACAGTTTGTCAATCTAAAATGGTAATTGTGCATTTACAGCTTTCAGCCATGTCGGTACTCAAACGCGCGCTCTGAACTAATTTACACAGCGCATTTCTTATTTTGGTCGCGCATGCGGACCTGCGGACCACTTGTGTGCACCCCTGAATATAGGGACTTTTTCAGTCAGTACTACTAACCTAACTCGTTAAAAAATTAAATTCTTGCAAACCAAGTGATTCGTTCTTCTTTCTGTTATTATATCACCACGGGAGATAAAAACTTGCCATTTTTGTTCACAAGATACTCACTGAGTGTCGCTGTCTTCTCACTGTCTTAAAGAGGTCATATGATGTTGCTAAAAAGAACATTATTTTATGTATTTGGTGTAATGAAATGTGTTTATGTGGTTTAAATAATTAAACACATTATTTTCCACATACTGTACATTATTGTTTCTCCTCTATGCCCCGCCTTGTGACGACTCCGGGCTGGACTCCGCTTCGTCCACGGTGAAAGCCGATCCGGTGATCCACAGCGCAAAGTTGTTGTATTTCCTCAGCAACCAGCACGGATCAGCTCCAGGCATGACGAAGCAGATATCGTCCTCTTTTGGAAGGCCAAACAAAGTAGTTTCGCTTTCACAACGAAACACACAGCGCCTTCACGACATGGCAGCGGCGGCAACAACAATACTACAGCGAGAATAAAAGTTACGCCTTCTTTCTTTGCGTGAACATTTGGGCGGCGTTATGCAAATCTTCCCAGATAGTGACGTAGGTATGTTGGGGCGTGTTAGAACGAGCCATTTTAGGTAGGTGTGGCTGACTCTTAACTTTTATAAAGAATATCTCTTTGGATTTGAGACTTTAGTCCTTGCAACTTTACAGATCTCCTTTATGCACCAAGAGCTTGTAACACTCCAAAGAGAAAGGAAAAATTGAAATCGCATCATATGACCCCTTGAAGGATAACAGAATTTGCATTGTATGTTACCAGGTTTGCACATTATATTCATTCTTGTTTGGTTATTTTCGGCAGTGTTCATTGTATGCAAGGGATGATGACAGCTGATGGAAACATGACCCTCAATTTACCAGAGTAGCCGTCAGTTCATTTGTTTAATGCTGAGTACGTGTTTATGTCTTCAACACTCCCTGCGGTGAAGCTCGGCGTGACATGATGAAATCTGAGAGTTTGGGTGACACGACAAGATAATGTTGTCACACGACACCCGCTCCGTCAGTGCAATATTTGGTTGCGTTGAGGGAGACGGCCTGTGGCTGCTATGTTTGATACGCAGACAGCGGGAGGCTTGGGAATCTCATCCGTCTTTATTAAAAACCCTGCTGTCGCTGCGGGAATAAGAGAATCAACATAGGCATCACTGCTAATTTATGTATTCATCAACTCGGCAGCCCCGGTATTGTTTGTCCTCATTTCCTCATGACATTTGAGGAGACCCAGCGATGTGTGCCAAACTCACTCCAGTCAGAGCAGATATTATTTGAAATGGTTTTATTTAAATATAAATATGTGTACAAAGTTACAAGCAACAATAGCTCATTTTTAGCAAATAAAATTATTTGAACATTATTTAAAAAAGAAACGGAAGGAAAAAGTCAATTAGTTGTGTAACACCTTTCACCTCTTCAAAACTGATAAGTAACATGGGGTAAAAACCGTTGTGAACCAAATAAAGTCAACTCAGATATATAGATATATGCATTTTATAATATAAAGGTATTTTACAATAGAGCAGCTTACACTCTGTACATTAAGGCTTATATAA